TTTTAATAGGGTACGTCAAGAGAATGTACACTAAGAAGAAATTTTTCGAAAAATCCCCCCTACAGGGGAAGTGTTATAAATTTATAATAGATACATTTTGAGCCACAACAACGTGTGGCGGGATCTGCTAGTTTATTATATAATTATAAAATTTTATCTTTACTATTTTTTAAAAATCCTATCAAGTTAATTTGGGCACAGATTGAAAATAGTGTCACTGCTGAAACATAATATTTAAGTTGATGGAAGAAATTTAATAGAAGACACTATTATATATCAGTAATATTAAGGTATTGGCAGTAGCCATTAAACATATGCTATCTCATTTTTAACACGATAAGAATAGTGTACCATAATACACCATCAAATTTAGTTTACACTGTATATGATGTCTTGAATGTTAAATTTGTAGGCTGATGGGCTTCTTGAATTGAACTCATCTGTTGACTTCTAACAAATATTGACCTTACTCTAAACTTTTTCTTATGCGGTCATATGGTATATAATGGGGATTTGGATTGTCTCAATGTGTAATTATACCATGGATTGTTTCCATGGTATAATTATAGCATTATACTGAACATTCATGATCATGTTACAAAAATCAAATTTTTGTACAAAACAGTAGGTTTCTATGTGTGCATCATTAATGACATGTCATTAATGATGCACAAATAGAAACCTACTAAGATAAACGACGTCCAACCACTTAACACTGTGTTGAATAATAACAATCCACGAAAAATCTTTTTTTACGAGTGTTATGTCACTATTAAATTCCACAAGTACTTTCGACCTCCAACGACACTGTTCGAGGAATTCGAACAGTGTCGGTCAGAGGGGTGAAACCCGACGCGCACATTTATTTATTTACATTGTTGGCAACATCATCACGATGGTCGGGTCGAAACACGGCCAGTCACCACCTGAAGCAGACCTCGGTGGAGGTCGAAAGTACTTGTGGAATTTAATAGTGACATAACACTCGTAAAAAAAGGTTTTTCGTGGATTGTTAGAAACCTACTGTTCTGAACAAAAATCTGTATGCTAATAAGTGGAATATAAAAATTATTAGAGTACAGTGATTAATAAATCTTTCACAATAATCTCATGAAATCCTATCATTCATTTTCAGGAACCCTGAAGATTATGAAACTAGTTATTTTATACAGTAGAGCATCGATTATCCAAATGCCAATCAACTGAAACGTCGGTTAACCAAAAGTGTTCCAGTCGGATTGTGTCGTGCTGAATCAAACACTTTTCATACTAGATTAACTTCTAAAGTATAATTTTTTTGTTTTTATATTTTTCAATATACAGGTAACCCCCGTATAACATGGTAGTTACGTTCCAAAAATTTGCCATGTTATGCGAATCTGTGTTATACGAAACAAAGAACTAATATGAAAAGGAGGGTTAGGTTCCAAAAATTAAAAAACATGCTATTATATTTTCATAATTAAGATAAATATCTTTATTAAAATTTTCTTAAGCAATACATATTAATATAAATTAAACAATGTTTTCTTCGTCATCACTAAAAGCACTATTAACCGAGAGCGTTTTCTTTTTGGCAAGTTATCCTTATCCTCTGAGCATTTTTCTGCATTATCTTCAGATCCATACTTTACCTTTTGCAAAAAGTGTGTAATTTTAGATTGCTTGCTTCTAGTTAAAAGGTGTTTATAAATTTCCTTATATGGTGCTAAGCACTTATGAAGAATAAAGCAAGTATGGAATAAGGGGAAAACATCTGGCAATATCAGAAGCAGAAGCGTCGAGATCTGGCAACATTGAAACGAGTTTCGAGAAGGACCATGTGTATCGACAGAAGGCGAGAAAAGAAAATTTATATACTTAAGTACTAATAGTTCACGAAAATTATTATTTTTGTGAACTATTATTACTTAAGTATGTAAAAATTTATTACATTTCATGTTGTATGAGGGTTTTACCCAATTCTTGAACCGTGTCAGAGTGAATCCGTGCTACAGAAGTGCCATGTTATACGGGGGTTACCTGTATTTATTTTGTTTGTACAAAATAAAGAAATAATTTTGAGCAATACAATAGCCACGATTGTTGTTATAAAAATCTTCGTTAGTCTTAACATCAACGAAAATTCAATGCAAAGTGACATGCAACAGAGAAAAATTTAAACATGGGATATATTAATATACTGTTATTGGGATATACTAATATACTATATTAATAATGTATTTTTTCGAACATAATCGGTTATCCAGAAAATCAATTTTCTGAACAACCCCAGTCCCCAATTGATTCGGATAATCAACACTCTACTGTATATATTTAATAAATTTTTAATTGAGTTCTTAACAGTTATAATTATACAAACTATTATTACTAATACTAATTATTGCTATTAGTTATTCATAAATTTTTAACATATTAAAAATCACAAATGTAATAAAAACTATTTTATAATTTTTGTTATTGTTTCTCTCTATTTTTTGTTATATAACAACAACTTTTTTATGAAATATATAATGAAGATAAAAGTTGGATGTGGAACAGTAACATTACCAGAAGACCCTGTTCGTCTCGAATATTCAGTAGATCAAGGAAGATCATGGAATCTTGTTAAGGCATCCTGGGTTCCTTATAGTCTTAGTCCTAACTGCTTACATCAAGTTGAAACACCAACTATATTTTATGGTAATGCTCATTTAAATTGGCAGAGGATTATAGTTCCATTAAAAACTTTACAAATCTGTGGGTGAGTCATATACATTTCAAATATTTAAAGAAAAAAATAAAAATATTAATTAGCTTATAATTTTTAAATATTTAGAAATGTGAGATTTCGGTGGTACCAAGGATATTATAGTCTTAGAGATTCACCACCAGAATGGGCTCTTGATGAAATTTACATTGGTCCAAGTTGTCCTTTACATTGTTCAGGTCATGGTTCCTGTTTAAATGGTATTATGTGTCTTTGTGATAATGGATATGAAAGCGAATTCTGTCATACTACAATTTCAAATCCAAGTTTTCTAAAAGAGAGTTTTGAAGGTAAACTTTTTAAACTTATGTTTTATATAATTTTGTACTCCTTAATGTTTAAACAAATAAAATTTTATATACATAAAACATAAATTCTCAATGCTCAGTGAATATGTTTACTTTGAAATATGTTCATATTAGTTTTACATTATTGTATTGCAATTCTAATGTGAAAATAAATAAATAAATATTTCAATAACAATTATTTGATTTATTTCAGTAAGTCATTATTATTTTATTGCACAGAATCAATAATGTCTAAATTATTCTGCATAAAAGCAATATTTTTTTATTAAAAAATATTTGGTAAAAATTATAATATGATTAAAAATTGTTACATTTATGTGAATTAATATTACCATAATTTCCATTTTTACTTTACTTGCTTCATTTTTGAAACTCTTCATTGTAGAAATTTGTTTTATACTAATTAAAATAATATTTGTATACAATTTAAATTATTATTAAATAGGGGGGGTGCTGCTTGCTGTTGAGCGTGTTGGTGAACTTTTTTGTGTGCTTCTTTTAAGCCTAAATTATGGAAAATATCGAGTTTTGGATTAAGGTGTTTGAGTTGTTGTTATTTTTAGGCGGGATAGAATTAAATCCCGGCCCTGTTGATCGTACTCCGCCACAATCTCAGATTCAATCATCGGCATCCACAGCAAAACGACATCGATCTCCGAGTGAACCTTCATTGAAAACGGCGAGATTGGAAGATTTCTTCCCTTCAAGGTTAGAGTCAAGTAAGTCTATTCCTAGGGAGGTTATTTCATATTTGGAAGACCGATTTGATAAGCTTTTTTCGACGTTAAATGAGGTTGTTACGAAGATAGATTGGTTGGCTAATTTACATAATGATCATGACCGGCGTTTAACTCAGTTAGAAGTCAAACTAGGAGAGTTTTCTAAATTAAAAGACGATTTGCAACGGGAAAACAGTTTGATTTTACATTCTTTGGACAAGGTATCGAATGAAATGAGAAAGAAAAATATCTTAATTAAAGGTTTGACTGATGATGATTCTGATTTGAATAGGAAGGTGCAAAACCTATTTTATACATTGACAGGTGAATCAAGACCTATTCCAATGGTTAAGGTAGTGAAATTTAATCGATCAGATACGGTATTGGTGGAGTTGCAATCATTTGCAGACAAGAAATTGATTTTTGCTAATCTTGGAAAGAAAAAAGGTAACGAGGCATTAAAAAATATACAAATTTTTGATGATTTATGCTGGCGCTCAAGATTGAGACGGAGAAAGCTTTTGCCATTTCTACATGCTTATAGGTTGGAAGGCAGGCGAGTTCGATTGTTGGCTGATGTTTTACAGGTTGCCTCTGAGAGATTTACCTATGATTTGGCTAGAGGAGAATTACTGAAACTCGATTTTTTAGTGGAAAACCGTGTGGTAGATTCTCAAATTGTTCCCTCTCCGATTCAAGGAAGTGTACAGTTGGATTAAAGATTTCAGCATGGAACTCCCAGGGTGCCTTTCTGACTAATCTGAATGACAGTGGTTTTGTTGAACATATTTCTAGAACTGATATTTTGGGATTGACCGAGACCTGGTCTACAGTTTCTTTATGTTCGAGAGTTAAAAGTACTAACTGTAAATTTAAAGTTTTTGAGGTATTGGCCACAAAAAATGTGGGGAGAGGTAGACCTTCGGGGGGCTTACTTTTGGGTATAAATGGTGACTTGGGAGAAGTCAACTTGCTTCTGTCAGGGCAACATATGATGGTCGTTAAAGTGAGATTTAATCGGAGGCAAAGTGGGAGATTGCGTGAAATGATAATTATTTTGGTCTATCTTCATATACCTATTTTTGAACAATTAATTGCAAGATTGGATGATTTAATTTCTGATTATACATCAGATTATGATTTTCTGATGATGGGTGATTTTAATGCACGAATTGGCTTGACTATGGATACTATTTGTGGTGGTGATGTGATTTCGAATATTCGACTATCAAACGACAAAATTTGTAATAAAAGAGGGAATTTGCTTATTGAACTGGTGAAATCCTATAATTTATACATAATAAATGGTCGTTATCCTTTTGATTCACCAGCGGACTTCACTTATACATCTGGATTGGGTGCTTCAGTAATCGATTTGGTGATATTGAGCGAAAGTTTGCTGGGGAGTCTATGTAATTTTGTTATTTCGGATGATTACATGTCTGATCATCATATGGTGAATTTTGAAATATTAATTGATACTGACGAGGATAGAAAACTTAAACTGATTGATAGGAAAAAACGATTAACTTGGAAAGAGGATAGATCCAATTTATATTCTGAAACAGTTTCGGTCGGATACGCAAATGTCGTCTTAAGTGACGGAATGGAGGATAGGTATTCCGAAATTTTGGATTTGATTAAGTCATCAGCTGAACAATGCAGAATGTTGTCATACTTAGGAATGACAAAAATATCGTTTTCAGTTTGGTTTGATAGTGATTGTAGAACAGCGAAGAGACTGAAGAATAAGATGTTGAGGAGGTTCCGGACATCTCGTAGTAAAGATGATTTGAGGGATTATTGTGGTTATAGGGCTGCCTTTCGATCATTGTGTAGGATAAAGAAGAAGAATTATTGGTCAAATATTAGTAGACAGCTGCAAAATACACGATCTTCTAGACAGTTTTGGTGTATTGTCAACAGATTTAGAACGAAAAGAAAACCTGATTGTCAAATTTCTCTTCAAGATTGGGAACGTTTTTTGGAGCATGATTTTTGTCATCCAATTTCAGATTCAATTCTTGAGTTTGATCATGGAAATGTTTCTCTTATTTTGGACGCTCCAATCTCATTATCGGAGTTAAAAACTTCAATCAGTAAACTTAAAAGGAAATCAGCTCCTGGCATGGACGGTATAAATAATGAATTTATTATATACTTACCTGATGAGGTGTGTTTAGAAGTACTCAGATTATTTAATAAGATTAAGGAAACAATGAAAGTTCCTGAGAATTGGAGAAATGTGTTGTTGAAAATGATTTACAAGAAAGGAGATAAATTAAAGCCTCAGAATTATCGTCCAATTGCGTTGCTAAACACGTTTAGAAAGCTGTTTACTGGAATTTTGGCAGATCGGTTGAGTCAATGGTTAATTGAATTCAATATTATTTCTCAGTTTCAGGGAGCATTTGTTCAAGGAAGAGGAACTATGTATAATGTCTTTATACTTAACGGGTTAATACAGTATGTTCTGTCAAGGAAAAGACGTAAAATTTATTCGATATTTGTGGACCTGGAAAAGGCGTTTGATAAAATCAATCTTAATATTTTGTGGGGAAAGTTATATTCATTAGGACTTTCAACTTCGTTTATTAAGCTACTTAAAAACTTATTTTGTAATACAAGGTATCATGTGAGCGGCAACTCGACAGCTACTAAGGGTGTTATTTCTGGTGGAGGCTTGCCACAGGGTGAGCCTTTAAGTCCTCTGTTGTTTATATTATTTATTAACGATTTACCGCAATTGTTTGCTACTTCAAAAATTTCGGGTTTAGCACTTGGAGATTCTGTCGACCTGCATTGTCTAATGTATGCAGATGATGTAATTTTGTTGGCAGATTCAAAGACGGGTTTACAGCGAAAACTATCTTTGCTGATTAATTATGCAGAAAGAAATGACCTCACAGTTAACTTACAAAAAACAAAGGGAATGGTTTTTCGCAATGGAGGTAGATTACTGAAATCTGATAAGATATTTGTGAATAACACTGAAATTGAATTTGTTACATATATTAAATACTTAGGAATACATTTTTCTTCTTCAGGTGCATTTAGTCATCATTTTAACTTGATGGTCGAAGATATACAGAAAAAGACAGGCTACATTCTTACTCTACAAAAACGTATGAGGCTAAGCTCTATGAGAAGTATGTTTAGGCTTTTTGATGCTTTTATTCGTTCCAGGATGTCTTATTTATTCCCTGTATGGGGTTTGGAATTTCTGTCTAAAATAGAAAAAGTACAGATGAAATATTTTAAGAGACTTTTTAAAATAGAACGTTCAGTTTCAAGTTCTGCAGTTCGTCTTGAATTGGGAAGACCTCCTTTGGAACTGAAATTTGTTAAGGATATTGTTTTGTTCTGGTCAAAAGTCATGGAGTTACCCTCATGTGATTTGCGTCGAATAACATATAATCTATTGCTAACAGCAGTTAAACCTGGTAAGAAAAGTTGGCCAGCTTCAGTTAAAAATATTTTTGATGGCTTGGGTTATTCCTTTTTATTTTTATCTCATTCAGCTTCTTTGTTGAGAACCCATTTAAATGCACTAATTCAAACTAAGTCAGATCAGTTGTGGAACTGGGATATGTCTTCCATATCAGCTAAACGAGTTAATCTGTTTGAATCACGCTTGGTCTGGTGTACAGCAAGTTACTTGAATTGTGAGACTAATTTTCTCACAAAAAGTCTCATTATGCAACTCAGATTAAATAAATTTCGGATTTTGTTTAAAGGCTATAGAATAAATATATTCAGTGAAGGGTGCTGTAGTTATTGTGGTGCTAAAGAGGAAGGAAATCTTCTGACTCATTTGTTTGAATCCTGTCAGGTGACATATCAACTAAAAAGTGCTATATTAGGAGACGAGTTCAGATGTGATTTTTTGAAGAACGAGGTCATGTCAAAAATCACCTTATTTAAGTTTTTTTCCTTTTTCTCTAAATCTTTGGAATTTCTCCGTTAATTTATTTTATGGATTGTATGTACATTTATTAACATGATTTAATCAAATAGTCCCCATTGTAAGAAATTTAAATTTAAATCAATAAACATTATTATTATTATTATTAAATAATTGTATTTTACTCTCTGTTTTGTGGGTAGTAAGAAGAGCTTTTTTATTATATCCGTTGTGGATTTTGCCAGACTCATAATGTGGGCAGCCAAATAGTGAAGAATGAGGCCAATGTATTCTAGACAAACCATTCATGAAAAATTTTTGGGGTTCTTTGTTGTTCACATTTATTATTGAGTACCCAGGGCCTGTACTGGCTTGGCTGTCTAGTTATCATTAAATAATTTTCTAGTTACATATCATTAGTAAAATAAATTTTTATATAATACTTTCTAAACAATAATTGGATAAATGAAACAGAATATCAGCATTTTATTGATGGCCTGATGATTACAATCTATAAGATACTTACCATATAAGGAAGCACGTCATTTGTTGAGCAAGGTATAATTTTCTACAGCAAATAACAGCTGAGTGAGTGGCTCTCAAACTCATGACATTAGATATTATTGATATTAAAATCATTTTCTATTTTTTTAAGTATATTTTATAATTATAATTATTATTATTTATTCATTTTATAATTACATCTATAATAAACTGCTCACAGAAATAAAACAAAAAGTAACATTTTAATGTTTGAGAAGGTATCTTCTAAACTTCGTACTAGTAAGTGAATTCAATGTAGTGATATTTTCAATGGTCACTCCAGAGGCATGGGTTCAAGTGATGCATGTTATGCAAAGATTTTTTCCATTTTAGTGATTTTTTTTGCAGGATATATGAAAGGCCTGTGAGAGAAAAAATTACAATAATTAATTTTATTACATTAATTGAGATGCAATTTTTGAAAAAATTGTAGATCTATAAATTCCAACTGTTGTCTGTTGTCCTTAATCTCAAGAACAGTGTTAGATAAATGAAATTCAAGAGCAGGTATGGAAAGCTTAGGGGCAGGAGGCCCCAATTAACTATATATGAATTTCCATTGCAAACCAGAAGTCAAGTTATTTCAATTCAAAAATTTCCCTGAAAGGAACTAGATAGATGACTGGCACAACTCCATTGCTAAGGGAAAAGTGTGATGTACAGTACAAGGGCAATTTACTACTAATATGAGTTAGAGAGCATATATTTTAAATTAAATAAATTAAAAATATTATTAAAAATTGCAGCCCAGCATTGTGATGATGTCACAATAAATAATTGCTCATTATAAATGAATTACTTTTAATTTTAGGTACTGAAATTGATGATACCATATGGAAACGATGGAGTGGAGCAGAAATTTCTCATGGATGTGGAGTTTTAATAACAGGTGCCAGTCTTCATTTTCGTTATCATGGTGAAAGGATGTTGATAACTCATGATCTTGATCTTACTCAAATCAGGTATAAATGAAAATTTTCTTAATATACTTTTTTCATAAATTCTTAAAATGGGAAAAGTAATTAAAGAATTAGAGCAAGATTCAAATAATTAAAATTTTTAAAATTTATTTTAAATACAAAATAATTGAGTATGAATAGAAAAAATAAAATTTTTAAATAAATTCTGAAATTTATTTTATTGACTCAAATTTAATCATTGATGCAGAAATCAATTTTTAAGTGCAATAATTCATATATTAAATTAATAGATTAAATAGATAGCTACCATCATATCAATTGGCTGTTCTCAAGTTTTCAAATAGTATTCAATTATACAACAAAATACATTACAATAGATAAATCAGAAGTGAAAATTTGATTCTGAGAATTTTTTGTATGAGTAAAATATTTTTGCACCTATGCATTTATTTCTTATTTTCAATATAATAATTTGAAATTATGAAAAATATTTTTAAATTTATAAATAATTAAAATAGAAATTATTTTGTTTTTTATTTAATCTGTTGTTTATTGAAATAAAATAAATGTAGCAAATGTTATTTAAAATAATTTTGAATTCTACAAAATAATACAGTTCTCTATACTGTTTGTCAGATATTTCTTTTAGATTTTTCGTTGGCAATACTTCAAGAATTTACATTTAAAACATTCTGAAAAATTGTTAAGACAATTGACTTGATCTCTTATTAAACACTCAATAATTTACTGTGTCTTATCTCTGATTAAATGCTTTAATAATTTTCTGTTATATAGTCTCTCATAAAGGTAGGGGAAGGTGGGATACCATGGGCAAATTTGCATACTTTGAGGTGTTCGAAGTGCTGGTGAATTTGAGGAGAAGCTCTTCAACTATATTTATTTTGGCTAGGTTGGAATAACTTTTTTGATAAAATTGACATGTGTGCTACTTGTTAATCTATCAGAAAAAAAAGGTTTTCAAAATAAGTAATTGTTTTACTCTATTAAGTGCTTTTCTGAAGGTGAGTGACCATCATGGTAATCAACCAATGTTTTCATAGAGAGATAATTTTGTAGAATTATGGCTTTATGGTACCATGAGCAACTATTGTGTAGACATGATGGGCCACTGGCTCATCATGCCTACATAATCATAGTGAAGTCATACAAAGTAATGTACTTAAACAGGATACTTATATCTGTAGTCTATATGTGGCATATTTTTATGTTTTATTTTATTTCCTCTATTCTCTAGATGAAAAAAATCTTATAGAACAGTTTCAGGATGAATGATATTCCTGAGCTACATATTATCAGCTTCATATTATCAGAAACAACTTTCTGCAAAGAAGAGAATGAACAACCATTTCATCCACCAGCTGTGGGTGACTATGATGTAGTTAAAAAGGCAACCAAAAAATCTATTTATTATATTGGGCTGATTCAGAGTATAAATGATAACAGATATAAAGTGAGGTTTTTGTATATATCCCTTCCAAGAATTTTCATCAAGTTTATTTTTCCATTGAATGATGATGTAGACAGTAAATCTGTATATACAAGTCAAATACCTTTATATTGATAATTTTTATTGAAGTATCAGGAGAACAATTTTTATAATGTAAAGTTTCAAGTCCATTTGTTAAAAGACATCATTTGTCATTAAATATGAGTATATTATGCTTAACTGTGCTGTTATGTTCGTNTGTTTATAAATTTCCTTATATGGTGCTAAGCACTTATGAAGAATAAAGCAAGTATGGAATAAGGGGAAAACATCTGGCAATATCAGAAGCAGAAGCGTCGAGATCTGGCAACATTGAAACGAGTTTCGAGAAGGACCATGTGTATCGACAGAAGGCGAGAAAAGAAAATTTATATACTTAAGTACTAATAGTTCACGAAAATAATAATTTTTGTGAACTATTATTACTTAAGTATGTAAAAATTTATTACATTTCATGTTGTATGAGGGTTTTACCCAATTCTTGAACCGTGTCAGAGTGAATCCGTGCTACAGAAGTGCCATGTTATACGGGGGTTACCTGTATTTATTTTGTTTGTACAAAATAAAGAAATAATTTTGAGCAATACAATAGCCACGATTGTTGTTATAAAAATCTTCGTTAGTCTTAACATCAACGAAAATTCAACGCAAAGTGACATGCAACAGAGAAAAATTTAAACATGGGATATATTAATATACTGTTATTGGGATATACTAATATACTATATTAATAATGTATTTTTTCGAACATAATCGGTTATCCAGAAAATCAATTTTCTGAACAACCCCAGTCCCCAATTGATTCGGATAATCAACACTCTACTGTATATATTTAATAAATTTTTAATTGAGTTCTTAACAGTTATAATTATACAAACTATTATTACTAATACTAATTATTGCTATTAGTTATTCATAAATTTTTAACATATTAAAAATCACAAATGTAATAAAAACTATTTTATAATTTTTGTTATTGTTTCTCTCTATTTTTTGTTATATAACAACAACTTTTTTATGAAATATATAATGAAGATAAAAGTTGGATGTGGAACAGTAACATTACCAGAAGACCCTGTTCGTCTCGAATATTCAGTAGATCAAGGAAGATCATGGAATCTTGTTAAGGCATCCTGGGTTCCTTATAGTCTTAGTCCTAACTGCTTACATCAAGTTGAAACACCAACTATATTTTATGGTAATGCTCATTTAAATTGGCAGAGGATTATAGTTCCATTAAAAACTTTACAAATCTGTGGGTGAGTCATATACATTTCAAATATTTAAAGAAAAAAATAAAAATATTAATTAGCTTATAATTTTTAAATATTTAGAAATGTGAGATTTCGGTGGTACCAAGGATATTATAGTCTTAGAGATTCACCACCAGAATGGGCTCTTGATGAAATTTACATTGGTCCAAGTTGTCCTTTACATTGTTCAGGTCATGGTTCCTGTTTAAATGGTATTATGTGTCTTTGTGATAATGGATATGAAAGCGAATTCTGTCATACTACAATTTCAAATCCAAGTTTTCTAAAAGAGAGTTTTGAAGGTAAACTTTTTAAACTTATGTTTTATATAATTTTGTACTCCTTAATGTTTAAACAAATAAAATTTTATATACATAAAACATAAATTCTCAATGCTCAGTGAATATGTTTACTTTGAAATATGTTCATATTAGTTTTACATTATTGTATTGCAATTCTAATGTGAAAATAAATAAATAAATATTTCAATAACAATTATTTGATTTATTTCAGTAAGTCATTATTATTTTATTGCACAGAATCAATAATGTCTAAATTATTCTGCATAAAAGCAATATTTTTTTATTAAAAAATATTTGGTAAAAATTATAATATGATTAAAAATTGTTACATTTATGTGAATTAATATTACCATAATTTCCATTTTTACTTTACTTGCTTCATTTTTGAAACTCTTCATTGTAGAAATTTGTTTTATACTAATTAAAATAATATTTGTATACAATTTAAATTATTATTAAATAGGGGGGGTGCTGCTTGCTGTTGAGCGTGTTGGTGAACTTTTTTGTGTGCTTCTTTTAAGCCTAAATTATGGAAAATATCGAGTTTTGGATTAAGGTGTTTGAGTTGTTGTTATTTTTAGGCGGGATAGAATTAAATCCCGGCCCTGTTGATCGTACTCCGCCACAATCTCAGATTCAATCATCGGCATCCACAGCAAAACGACATCGATCTCCGAGTGAACCTTCATTGAAAACGGCGAGATTGGAAGATTTCTTCCCTTCAAGGTTAGAGTCAAGTAAGTCTATTCCTAGGGAGGTTATTTCATATTTGGAAGACCGATTTGATAAGCTTTTTTCGACGTTAAATGAGGTTGTTACGAAGATAGATTGGTTGGCTAATTTACATAATGATCATGACCGGCGTTTAACTCAGTTAGAAGTCAAACTAGGAGAGTTTTCTAAATTAAAAGACGATTTGCAACGGGAAAACAGTTTGATTTTACATTCTTTGGACAAGGTATCGAATGAAATGAGAAAGAAAAATATCTTAATTAAAGGTTTGACTGATGATGATTCTGATTTGAATAGGAAGGTGCAAAACCTATTTTATACATTGACAGGTGAATCAAGACCTATTCCAATGGTTAAGGTAGTGAAATTTAATCGATCAGATACGGTATTGGTGGAGTTGCAATCATTTGCAGACAAGAAATTGATTTTTGCTAATCTTGGAAAGAAAAAAGGTAACGNATTTTTATCTCATTCAGCTTCTTTGTTGAGAACCCATTTAAATGCACTAATTCAAACTAAGTCAGATCAGTTGTGGAACTGGGATATGTCTTCCATATCAGCTAAACGAGTTAATCTGTTTGAATCACGCTTGGTCTGGTGTACAGCAAGTTACTTGAATTGTGAGACTAATTTTCTCACAAAAAGTCTCATTATGCAACTCAGATTAAATAAATTTCGGATTTTGTTTAAAGGCTATAGAATAAATATATTCAGTGAAGGGTGCTGTAGTTATTGTGGTGCTAAAGAGGAAGGAAATCTTCTGACTCATTTGTTTGAATCCTGTCAGGTGACATATCAACTAAAAAGTGCTATATTAGGAGACGAGTTCAGATGTGATTTTTTGAAGAACGAGGTCATGTCAAAAATCACCTTATTTAAGTTTTTTTCCTTTTTCTCTAAATCTTTGGAATTTCTCCGTTAATTTATTTTATGGATTGTATGTACATTTATTAACATGATTTAATCAAATAGTCCCCATTGTAAGAAATTTAAATTTAAATCAATAAACATTATTATTATTATTATTAAATAATTGTATTTTACTCTCTGTTTTGTGGGTAGTAAGAAGAGCTTTTTTATTATATCCGTTGTGGATTTTGCCAGACTCATAATGTGGGCAGCCAAATAGTGAAGAATGAGGCCAATGTATTCTAGACAAACCATTCATGAAAAATTTTTGGGGTTCTTTGTTGTTCACATTTATTATTGAGTACCCAGGGCCTGTACTGGCTTGGCTGTCTAGTTATC